TTAACTTGCAATTTTTTAAAAAAAAACATTTTTAGAAAGTAAGCCTACTCCGATAAAATTTGCACAAGAACATTTTTCCATTAATGAGTCTCATTAGTAGAATTTGGTAATTTTGACCTATCTTTTTCTTGCAGTGCAGCAGTAATTCCGTGACTAAATGGAAAAACAATGATTCTATCCGACTTTGTTTTTAAAAAAATTAATGATTTTGTCGATAAGTGCTGGCCACAATCATTAGTCATTCTCACGTAACACAAATCTTTAGAACTCATCTTTATATTTAGAACTCATATTTATAATTTCAGAATTGACTCCGGCTTTTGCCAGTTTGATAAAATGAACAGGCTTCCTTTATTAATAATATCTTTGTGAAAATGTATGGAGAAATTTTAAATGAATTCATGCATATGTAAAAAGAAAAATAAAGAGCATTATGATCCGGAAATGCGGAGTTGTGATCCGTAGTTTTACTTTGTTAAATTTACCAAAAAATATCTATTCACATGTAAGACATATAATTGAAAAAAATTTTAAAAAACTGTCTTTTTTTTTTATTTAGATTTTTAACAATTTTTTTTTTAAAAAAAATAATTGAATGAATTTATAATAAAAGTTAAGACGTTTGATGTCGTCATTTGACATTAAGCATGACATTGTTATACATATATAATGGCTAAAAATAAAACCGGAGCCACGTATATGGCTAACTACCGGATTTAATAAAAATAAAATAACTAAATTTGAACACTTTCATATTTGATATAAAATATGAAAGTGTTCCGATTTAGTTATTTTTTTAAACACGTGCTGTAAATGAGCGAAAAAAGCACGGGTTGTTACATAAGACCCGTGCAATAATAACTGGATATTTTCTGAATTTAGAATTTTATCCAATTACGTATCAGATTAGGATTAGCGTTTAGATACTGCAACATACGATATGTAATAACTCATTAGATTTTTGGTTGTTACTAAAACCGTTGTATGTACCTTATTCTAGGGCCTAGGGTAATACCCTATTCCAGGGCCTAAGGGTAGTCCCCAATTCTAGGACATATCATTCATAACTGATAACCCTTTTAAAGCATTCAAATTATAAATATATTTCGGAAAAAATTTAACCGTGTATGCATATTTAGTTCACCCATAAACTGTAAAGGATAGATTGTAAAGGGTTTGCAAAATAGTCATATTTTTTAAGTTGTATATATTTACAAGTATGTTGATTATCATACGCCAGTATCACTCAGCTACAAAACGTAAATGCCACCAATATTGCTTACTGCAAAACGTAAATGCTAAAAAAATTTCAAAGAATTATCTCTTATCATTCATGCTTTGTAGTGACAACCCATCCAAGTAATAGCACCCTTCGAGTAATATGGATGCCTGACGGGTTTTTGTGATAGATTTTTTAACAATTCTGTATATTTTAAGAGTTATTACAATATTGAAAATTAAGATAATGCAATTAATACAGTTATTTATTTGTATTGATTGTCCTACGCGGATGCGTGCAACTTAAAGAAAGATAAAGTGATAAACACAAATCGAACAAATCTGTCGGCGGTTACTTATTTAGAGTTTATTTCTTATCAATTTACTTGGTGGGAAATTTTTAATGCATGATTAAACAAGAAAGATCAGTTTTATGAATTGTATTTACGTGATAATACGTATAATTTAACAATTAAACCTGGATCTGTTTGTAACAAAGGGATTATAAATTATAAAGATGCTCAGCACTGAGAATTTCCCCATTTTTTTGCGTTTTTTTTTTTTTAAGAATGAACAACGAAGAATTCTCTCAAATACAGAATCCAAATTTGACAAGAACACGTACGCGTCGTGCATGCTCGCATTGTAAAAGATTAAAACGTAGATGTGTTAAGATATCAAATCAAACTTGTAGTGAATGCTGGGGGAAAAGGGAATGTATCTTTCCCGTATGCCCAATTTGTCTTAGACCAAACAAAGACAATACTAACAACATTTGTGCTGAATGTCTAAGAACATGCACACAACAATATTTTGATATGACCTCTTCTCTTGTAAATGAGGAATATATATACGAATGTAAGATTTATAACAGCATAGACGGGTTAATTTATCAGATAACCATTTAAATATTCTACCATTTATTTTCATTTTCTTTTATAATTGTATAAAGGTTATGAAGGTTACGAAGGTTACGAAGACAGTACCCCATGTAAAGATGCTTGACGAAACTATTTTTGAATTGACGAAAGGTTTCGTCAAATGACGATCCTGACGAAACCGTTGA